TCGCTATGAGTCGGAAACGACTCGATGGCACATAACAACAACAGTTTTATTTCTTTTGACCACTTAACCTGCCAATAGTTTTCCCAGGATTTAGGGTATGGACATGTTGGGAGGGCCATTATTTCTGCCTATGCCAAGCACCTTTGCCCCAAAGTATAAATTGAGAATTTGTATATGGATTGACACAGTGACTGTAACAATACACTCAAGCATATCAGGTGCGTCTGATACAAGGCATGGTATTTTTAATTACTTGCTGTACAACAACTAAAGATGACAGAAGAAGAATCAGTAGCTTTGAGTTGTGGTGCTGGAGAAGAGAACTGAACACCCCACAATCCACCAAAAGAACAAATAGCTATGTCTTGGAGAAAGTGCAACTAGAGTTTTCCTTGGAGGCAAGCATGGAGGCAAGACTCATATACACTAGATATGCTGTCAGGAGGGGCCAGTCCTTGGCAAAAGGACTTCACGCTTAGAAAAAGAAGGAGAATCTCAACAAGATGCACTGACATAGTGACTGTATCAATGGGCTCAAGTATATCAGAGATGATGATGGTGACGGCACAGGACAGGGCAGGGTTCAGATACGTGGTTCATAATTAGACTATCATACACAGTAAAATATGCACAATCAAGAGAGTATCAAATGGCTGAAAGGGACCTTCTAAAAACTGAATCCTTGTGTGTATCAAAAAATTTCTTCAAAAGAGTAAAAAGTGAGCCTACAGATAAGGAAAAAAATTTGGCAATATCTGATAAATGACTCTAGCACTTCAACAAGAAAAAGACAAGCAATACAATATATATATATATGCTTGGAGTCATATAAAGAGTTCTGCTGTGTGATCTTTGGCAAGTTACTTGAGTCTCAGTCTCCACTAAAAAGGAAAATAAATCACTGAAATGTAAATTGTTATCCTTTGTGTGTTAATATATTAAGTTATGGGGTTTAGCGTAGACATTGACAAAAAGTAAGAGCTCACGAAGTTCTTTATGAATCTTGAGGATGGTGGGCGAAATTCTCTGAATAACATCTGGAGACAGTCTGAAAAATTTCTGGAAAGGAGTGAAAGAGAAGTAACTTTTTTATGGAGCTGGAGATGGACAATTCCAGCAAAAGGAAATCAAGTTTTTTCGAGGCTTTTGAATTAAGCTTTGAGGCTAAACAGGTTAACAGGAGAGCCTCCTTACATGTAGCCCGTGTGGCAAGTGGAATACAGTACTTTATTGAAGGGAGAACTTGTGAGCTCTTTGGAGGCAGTGAAGATATGCTGCGGAATTCTCATTGTCTTTATTGCCGGTACGACACAATTGTGCAATGAATTTTAACGGTGTTCATAGGGGAAAGAAAAGAAACCACATTCTTACAGGTTCCACCGAGATTTGAACTCGGATCGCTGGATTCAGAGTCCAGAGTGCTAACCATTACACCATGGAACCGGCACATCATCACCTTTTCCTTTAGTCCTCTAAATGATAGATAACCCCGCCCATTCTTACAAAACCACCATACGGAGGCGGGTCGGACTCGCTCCCTGACCCTAGGTTCCGGCAAGGTAGTGTGTAAATAAGAAAAGATCATTAAGTGTGTGGTCAGCTGGGACTCCAGGAGTCAGTTTCCTACTTGAGCCTCCCCAAGAAGCTCAGCATTCGAAGATTGGTGACGAGGGCACACGGTACTTCCCAGGCTCACAGACAGGGCACCGCCTCCCCGGAAGTACTTCCCCTTTCGGGGCTGGGGCCTGCCGGAAGTGGCGCAGCGGCAGGGCGGGGCTCTTTACCCGGTCCGGCGTCTGGAGCTCAGCGCTCGGGTTACCCCTGCAGCGACGCCCCCTGGTCCCACCGATACCACTGCTGCTCCCGCCCCTTCACTCTTCGGCCGCGCAATGGGCACCCGCGACGACGAGTACGACTACCTCTTCAAAGGTGAGACTATGGGGGGGTCCCTCTTGGGGGGGTCCTGGGACACTCCCGGGAGACCCGCTCGGGGGCCACCCCTGCACTGAAATGGGCCTGCCCCCTCAGTCCTTCCTTTTTCCTTGCGTTTCGCCCTCTTATCTCCCAACTCAGCATCTTCTCTCGTAACGCGGGCTCCTCCCCCCATCTCCTGGCGACCTCCCCGTGGGCCCTCGCTGGCTTTCGGATCCCTCACGGAGTGTCCTTTCGGCGACTGTCTTCTCCTCCATCGTCCTCCTCCGGCCTCTCCCGGGGTCCTGAGGCCCCTTCCAGGCGCCCCTCCCGCCGTCTGTCTAAGCAGCCTCGGCGCCCCCTCCCCCCGGGCCCACGGCCCTCGGCGTGCACATCCTCCGCGAGCCCCTTGGCCAGGCCCTCCTGCGCTTCCCTTTTCCTCTGTCCTTCGGCCCCAAGGCAGGACTTTTGATTCTGACCTGCTTCCCTTGCCTCCCTGAGCGAGACAACCCAGTCCCCATCCCCCCTACCCCTCGGGCGGCGACCCCCTCCTCACCCACC